TACTCTTTGAGGGGTGAGAGGGTAAAGCTAAACTGGGAGGCCTGCTGACGATTCAGTGTGCACTCAAAGAACTTTCTCCCTCTGCCTGTTTTGAATCTCACTGAGAAGGCGTGTGGGCGTTGAGAGGCTCAGAGCTGAGGATCGATGCTGTGGGCAGGCAGAGCGAGGGATATGAGCACAGAGAGGTGCAGAGGACAGGACACCCTCAGCAGGGGGTCTCTGTAGCTCTGACTTCTTTATGTGTGTGTGTGTGTGTTTGTGTGTGTGTGTGTGTGTGTGTGTGTGTGTGTGTGTGTGTGTGTGTGTGTGTGTGTGTGTGTGTGTGTGTGTGATTGCACAGTGAGACCTCACCTCAGATCATCACAAACTGGGTGCTCTATGTGTGTGGGTAAACTTCCCTGCTATATCCTGCAGCGTTCACACATCCGCTCTCCAGACTTCTTGCCAAACTTTACTGGCAGGAAAAACTTCCAGGTGAAGTCGGAGTCAACAATTTGGTCGTTTGTGTTCACCCGTGCTGCTCAGCCTGAATAATAAATGTAATTTTTAGGATATTTCTGGATGTGTGTGTACGTGCATCCAGTGTGAGAGCACCAACAGTCTCCCTGTGTATGAGTCCCCTGTGGGAGATGTGGCTGTCTCATGTTTCCTCCAAGTTTTTGTCCTAATCCATCCTTTTATTCATCATCTTTTTCATGCATATTTTGTTTTCCACACTGTTAAAATGTCTGGCACATCTTTATACCAAATTCCCCTAACTGTTACAGAAAGATGTTTACTGAGTGACCACAGCTTTAAATGAAGACAATGTGATGACTTATGTCGTGTATATTTAAGGGACTTGGAGCAGACTGGAGAATTAATGGTGTGTCACTGTGCGTTTAACAGAATAAATGGATGTGAATTAAGATGTTTTGGCCACATATCTAACAGCAGAAACATGTCCCCACTGCCCTCACAGTAAAGACACACCTTAGCCACAGCGGGGGCCACCTCTGAAAGACCCCAAACACAATCAACCCTTGCTACCCAGGAGTAATGGAGCTGTCAAACTACCCCGCAGTGACCCCCCGGGGGGCAATGAGACGAGAACCATCTCTCCACTACGGAGTCAGCAGCAGAGAGAGGAAGAGGAGTGTGATGATAGCAGTCATCCTCAGAGGATATGAGGAAAAATAGAGGTCATTGTGCTGTGTGTGTGTGTGTGTGTGTGTGTGTGTGTGTGTGTGTGTGTGTATGTGTGTGTGTGTCTCCCTCCCTGCTGACAGCCTGACAGTGACAGAGGAGCACTGACACTCTGATGGTGATGCTGAGGTGATTGTTGATGTCTGCCTGCAGCTGATGACACCTGCTGCCTGCATGAAGGATGGCAATAAGCTGCACGTGCAAACACCTAATATCATGCAGCAACAAAAGCAGGATCCATTTTTTTATTTTACCTTGTAGACACAAACATTACGTGTGTTTTCCCCCATTACATTTAGAATTAGAGGACGTAATGAAACGCAGGCTATACGGCGTTCAGACGTTACGCACGCCAATATTGCATCCAATCCAGTATGGGCTAAGTTCTAGTGGCCCGCGTGATCTGTGGACAGGGGTGTGTGTGTGTGTGTGTTTGTGTGTGTTTGGGTTTGTGCATTGTGGTGGTGGGTTCTTCCTTTCAGCTCACCATACCCAGCGCGCCTCCAGCTCTGAATCCACGGATTCTTTGGAGACACCGCTGACGGCGCTCCATCCCTCCTCCTCCGTCTCTCTTCATTCTCTCTCTCTCTCTCTCTTCCTCTTCCTTATACACACACACACACACACACACACACACACACACTTTTACAAATGCAGCACAGAGGACCGGAGAAGATCGCGAGCGTTCATGGTAAGACAACGTTCAGTGTTTTCATGATTTACGGATGGAAATCTGATTCTTCAGGTGATTTTACAGTTTATAACTGTCCACGTGGGCTTAGGTTTGTGTTGATGTCTGTTAATCCCCCTCAAACATTCATTTAAAGAATCTGCAGTTGTGTAAAGAGGGAGAAGGGCTTCAGATTTAGTTGAAAAAACTGAATTTCTCATCTATAATGTTTCGCTCTTTGTCCGTGTTATAGCCTATTCATCCGGACCCGGACAACAATATCCTGCAGACTGTTTCGGATGTTTTCATCCTCTTCTTATTTCAACTGCAAACTTGGCATTATTTTCCCCTCACTGTTCGCTCCTCCTGTGTGTGTGAGAAGCACTCAGAGAGAGAGAGAGAGAGAACAGCCTGCAATCAGCATCACATGAAGACAAGATCAGATGAAGCTCTGACCTCTTTCTTCTTCTTCATCTCTCCTGACACTCGTCTCACTTGTGTCTCAGTGCCGGAGGAATCATGTAGGACGAGATTCATCTTCTCTCCATCATCTTCATCTTCATCTTCATCATCATCATCATCATCATCATTATCATCATCATCTTCATCATCTTTACCATCTTCATGATCTCAGGAGCTGCTCTGTAGCCCCGGGTCAGATGCAGCTGCTCTGCACGCTGCTGCGGTCTGATATTAGCCTGTGGCACTGTGTGTGTGTGTGTGTGTGTGTGTGTGTGTGTGTGTGTGTGTGTGTGTGTGTGTGTGTGTGTGTGTGTGTGTGCGTGTGCGTGTGCGTGTGTGTGTGTGTGGGGGGGGGGTCACTTCCCCCCCCCCCACACACACACACCAGATTGAAAGTGAACTGTCAAAGGGAGGTAAATATCGTAGCTTGAAACGGCAGTCTGATTAGGGCGTTTGAAATGTTAGAGGCTATTTTGGGTTCGAGTCACTTGAGGAACCCCTGGCTGAAGCTTCATTTGAGATGACCTCCACCTGAAACGGGTGACCTCCTGTGACCACATCACCTTTCTCAGGAGCAGAGCTAAAGACGCAGACGATGAACAGATAGATGTTCAAAGCCGACTTGTAGCTTCTTATAGTGATGTTTTATTATAAACCACTTCCCTCAGAGGATCAGTGAACACAGCGAGGTGTCTTGATAGAAAAATCTTTGGCACTGTCACATCCCTCCATCACTCGCATCCCCAAATCCCTCAGTCCCAACCTCATCACTAACTTCTAACCTCATTTGTTGCTTCATTTTCCACTGAGGGAGCCTCCTCTCCTGCAGCACGCACCACTCTCATTACTCCACACTTTCCCTGTGTGTTATGGCTCTGCATTTACAAACCTGTCAGAGGAGCGTGCAGCCCACAGTGTAATCTTTGGCTGATCCTGTCCCCGAGGCTTTTATCCTCTGTGTAAAAACTGTTATTGTTGGAGGGATACAAAAGCTGAGAGCGTTCGAAGCCTTCAGTCGCCTCCAGCTGTTGACAGAGCGTCTGTTATTCCTGCTGTGAGTCCCTGTGCAGGAGGAGCTGTAAGCCACAGAGACGGAGGGGGGGACTTGCAAATCAAACTGCTTTAATCCACTGAAGCATCTGTCTTTATTCCCCAGAGGGCAGCAGGAAAAGAGAACCTGTCACAGAGGAGTCACACGATGCTCCTCGCTCGGCCAGCTGTGGAGGAGATGTTTGGGATGGCAGGACTGTCACATTCTTCTCAGTTTTTCTTTGACTGAAGTGTCAGATGGTTAAAAGCCAGGGTCAGAGTTTCTCATTATCGGCACTAACTGCACAAACAGAAGAAGAAGCAGATTTAAAGTTGTACTGATACAAGAGGAAAATGGAGCAGTGTATCCTCAGAGGTCACCGATTTAATATTTAGAATGATAGATTGTATTTATAAAGCGCCTTTCAAGGTACACAAGGACGCTTTACATCAGAACAGAACCTGTAGCAAACAAATTAAACAGAATGCATCAATCAGTAAATCAGATTAATAATAATGATAACAGGATTTAAATGAGTCCATGAGGCAAATTTTAACAGGAGGGTTTATGGAGTTTTTTGATGAATGTAACGTTGCAGATATCTCCAGGAAGTTCCAGAGGGTGAGGGCTGCCACACTGTGGGCTCTGGTGTTAGGGTGGAGACCAGACCCGTGACCAAGGACCGGAGTATAAGTGGTATATGAGGTCTGAGAGGGACTGGGGGGTAGGCGAGGCTTCACCAGAAGCCCACACATGCACACACTTTGATACACGTACTGGAGTCTGTAAAGGGCTTTGCGAGTTACCCCAAATAGGACTCCATTACAATAATCGAGACAGGAAGTGATGAAGGCGCGTATGAGTGATTCTGCATCAGGGTCTGTGAGTTATGGACGGAGTCTGGAGATGTTTTTTTGAGGTGGCAGAACACAGATTTGGTGATGGAGTTGATGTGTGACTGGAAAGAGAGGGTGGAGTCCAGAATGACACCCAGGTAGTGGACTTCCAGGGATGAGTGGATGGAGCAGCCATCAACATCGTGGAGATCTCCAGCCTGTCCGAGGAGGAGAAGGGGGGAGGTTGTTGTTACGGCTTCAGTTTTAGAAAGTTGCTGGTAAAATGTACTTAATGTAAGCAAAGGATGTTCTGATATTCTGTTTGTCCTTTAAGCAACACCAGTTTGGTTTTCTGATCTAAAGTAAAAATTAGATCCGCAGGTTTTGAGAACGTTTCTGACATTCTGTGTAAAAATATCAATCCAAGAAACAAACCTTCTCCCCCCGATGAGTTCATTTTCTGTGATTGCAGCTTTTAGCCCTTTTCAAACAGAATGGCTCATGATGCCGGCTCGATTTCACTCCTCCGTCACCCACAGAGTAAACGCCTTTGGTTTTGCGCTGTTTGTGATTAATGGAACATCAAAAGCCGATCTGAGCTCTGTGTGATTCGTTCCTGAGGACACGAGTCTGCCCGGGACACACAAACATCATTAATGAACAAGAGGCAGACTGCAGCGAGAAAGAGAGAGAGGGGGGATTCATTTTTTGTCAGTAATCTGGAGTATATTTACCTGGATGTGATGATGATGCAGACACTGTGTGTGCTCAGGGATTCATGTGATTACCTTCCATCAGTTAAGTACACAGGGACAAATGTTTTTTGTTTTTTTTCTGAATGCATTTGGAGAATCTCATCTCTCTCTGCTCTTTCATGCCCGATGGCAAAAAACTCTAAAGTGCATTTCTCCACTTGTCTCTGTGCAGGCAGCTAAATTTATCTGTAGTTCTCTGCTGAGCTTAGAGGCTTAATTACCCAGAAGAGAGGAGAGCAAAAATGAAATGCAACTATGCATGAGTGTGTGTGTGGCATCTTTAGAGTAAAGTTGTCTCAGAGAGGAACAGGAAAGCTAACATTTACCAGGGAAGGTCCCTCCTTGAGTTTTTCTGCAGAACAAATCTGTGGATCCATCAGGGGACAAATCTCAGTCCTTTAAACTGTTTGTTCAAAGTGTTTAAGCTCCTTGTGGTACAGATGCTGGAAAGATTGTGTCTGTTGAATTGGCTTCCTAAAGCTGGATTTTTTTAAAGTACATTAAATGTTTAGTTGAAGGAAGTAGTTTCTGTTTTCCTTTCCTGCTAATCTAAAGCTACGGCATGCAGCTGGTTAGCGTAGCATAGCACAAACAGTGGACAATAAAGGAAACTTCTAGCCTAGCTCTGTCTAAAGGTAAAATAACTCACCAACCTGCACATCTACAGTGCATTGATTTCACAGGGAGGGAGAGTATCCCGCGGTGAGGTGCATGTGTGAACAGGCAACTCAGGGAGGTTTCAGCTGCAGCCAGACTTTTTCTAGAATTAAATGTGGAGACGGTCTAAATAACATCTCCACCTTCTGTTGTTTAAGTTCCTTGGAGCAGGAACATAAACTGCTCCAGCAGAGCCGCCCATCGCTCGAGGTCTGTGGGTGTAAAACGAGCTGAAGCTGCACACGCATGAGGCTGGAACAAAACGCACCCGAATGAAATCTCATTGTGTGTGTCTTTGATTCCTCTCCAGCGTGAAGGATGTAGAGCCGGATGGAGGGGCAGGATGGAGTGCTCCTGGAAGACGGTGCTGCTTCTGGTGTGTGCGTCTCTGGGGGTGCAGTACACCGCCATCCGCACCCTGAGGGACTCTCTGTCTGGACCCTGTGAGGGAGCGTACCGCTGCTCCTCCAGACACCACAGAGGTAAGCTTCAACAACCAATCAGGACTGTCAGGACTGACTGTTTTGATACGAGCGTAATAATTGAAAATAAGAAATGACCAAATATTTGGTGCCTCTGACTTTTTTTGTTGTTGTGTTGCTGTGGTATGAATGTTGTTCTTCATTGATCCTGTGAGGGGAAATTCAATGTTACACTCTGTTGTTGAACATGCTACACACACATGTGGCTGAAATACACACACATGCACAAACAGGATCCTGTGGACATGCACTAATGGAGAGATGTCAGAGTGAGGGGGTGAGCGAGCGCTCCTGAGCTGTGTGTGTGTGTGTGTGTGTGTGTGTGTGTGTGTGTGTTCAGGAAGTGATCTCACACCTCTCCATCTACCAGACCAATTTCCAGATTTGGTTCGCACCGGGACTTGAACTTGACCCTTCTGTTCCCAACCGAAAGTCCTCACAGACTGAGCTACTGCCGCCCACATAGCTTGTAGCATTTTGAAGTTTAAGTTCTAGTATCATGACAACCCTCGCATAAAGTACGTTTCTGCTAAAATCTTGGCAGTATAGAAATATGTACATGTTTATTTTGTAAATAGTTTGGTTGTACAGAATCAGCAGAGGGAGTACGAGATCAAAAGTCGACCTGGTCATAAAATAAGTTTGACATTGAAGCAGTTTGGAGAAAGACATAGCATCAAACCTGTAACTGAAGCAACAGGCAAACTCCCACAGATCATTAAATCAGGGAATCCCAAAAAAGAAAAGGAAGGAGAAATTAAATATGCGTCACTCGTTTGACAATTATCCTCCAATTTATCTCCATTAATCTGCTCTCATAGCACAGCTGCATCGCCCGTGTACAGAAGAAACCTTCCCTTTGCAATCAACTCCTCATCAGCAGTAATTGCATGTTAACTTTTTGTCCTATATTTAGAGATCCGCCGCTTCATGAGTCCCTTCTGCAACCACGCGCAGACAAATAACTTACTCATGCATCTTTACTCTCTGAATTATTGAAGCTTTATCAGCTTGATTTAGGAGTTGACTTTCTGCTGGGTGGAAGTCGTGATGAAAACAGACTCACTCATACTTTTATGAGCTGAAATGACACAGCTAACTCATTTTTTACCTGAGCTTTAACTTCTTTTATTGTTGTGTCTCTCTTCCAGACTCCAGATGGAGATCATTGTGTGATGACGGTTGGATGCAGGAGTTGCCTCGGAAACACATCCTGCTGTTTTCCACAACCCGCAGCGGCTCGTCCTTCACGGGGCAGCTCCTCAACCAGCACCCGGAGGTGTTCTATGTGTTTGAGCCTCTCTTCCACGTGCAGCAGGCCTTCACCAACTCCAGCAGCCGCCTGCGCCGCTCGCTGGACCGCCGGGCCCTCCTAGGAGCGTACAGGGACCTCCTCCTCAACCTCTACACCTGCGATCTTCACTTCATGGAGAACTACATCCGGCCAGAGCCGCAGGACCACGTCACCAACTCCTTCTTCCGTCGGAGCTCCAGCCACGCCCTCTGTTCCCCTCCAGTGTGCTTGGAGGGAGGCGACGGAGCAGTCTCTGATCTGCCCGATGAAACCTGGTGTCCTAAGAAGTGCGGCACTCTGAACCTCACTTTAGCGTCCTTGTCATGTCTGTCAAGGGGAAACATCGCCATAAAGACCGTGCGCGTCCCTGAGGTTGGCGACCTGCGCACTCTGACGGAAGACCCTCGTCTTGACCTGAAGATCATCCACCTGGTAAGAGACCCCAGAGCCATCCTCGCCTCTCGCATGATGGCGTTTTCAGATCAGTTCCGTGCTTGGAAAATATGGAACGCAACAGGACGGCAGCCACGTTATGTGGACCTGTCACAGATCACCAGCACCTGTAAGGACATGTCAGCCTCTGCAGAGACGGGCCTGCAGAGACCGCCATGGCTGCATGGACGCTACATGCTGGTGCGGTACGAGGACCTTGCGTTTAACCCGAAGAACAAGGCGGCTGAGATCTACAGGTTTGTGGGGCTGGAGATGGAGGACAGAGTGAGTTTGTGGATTTCAAAGAACACCAACAGTAATGTGTCGGCTCCCTCCGAGTGGAACTACAGATACTCCACCACCAGAGACTCCAGAGCCGCCGCAGAGAGCTGGAGGCTTCGACTCAGCTTCGACATCGTGAGGACGGTGCAGCGACTGTGCAACGACACGCTGGCTCTGCTCGGATACAAACCGGTTCAGTCTTCAGCTCAACTCAGAAACCTGTCACACAGTTTAATCCAACACATGAGCTTTGAGACGGTCACATAAGCCGTTCTCTCACATGCAGTCCTGAAAATATTTACAGAAATCCTTGAAATCTTCTTGAGTTGATGTTCAGCAGGGTTGTGTCCAGAGTCCAGACCTTTTTCAGTGGGGGGGGCAGACTGGGGGCACTGACGTATGCAGGGCTAGCAAGCAGTTTACCTTCCTTTCCCCACTAATCACACTTTTAAGTTACACAAGAGAATGGCGACATCGTCTTAGCTTCATTCTTTCAGGACTCAAAAAGAAGACATTTGTTCAGGGTCACGATTTAAAAACTTTTCATAGCTGGTTCGTTCATTGTAAGTTAGACAGGGTGCAGCAGTTTGCTTGTGAGTCTTTATGGAATCGTTCCTTTCCAAAAAACCCGTCTCATGAAATAAAATGTGCACAGTCAACTAGCAGCCTGATGCAACACAGTTGATTTTGACTTAAATCCCGCCTCTGAAAACGCAAATAGCCAATCATAGTTTGTGATTTTAGTTTAGCCAATCAGATTTCAAGGGGGGCCCATGCCGTTCCGGGCATCCCTCTGGACACGCCCCTGCTCACATACCTCTCTCACAGTGTGAGCGAGGTGAGCGCCTCAGGTGGCAAGACATAACCTCAAAAGATGTCATGAGCCTTGTTCCCACCTGCACAAAACTCCTGAAGTTTTCAGGCTGAGCAAAAACACTTTTGAGTTTTGTGCAGGTTTGAACAGGACTATAAAGGATTTTAATAAACAACCGTACTGTTACACAATTACTCATCTGCTGTTTTCATGCTGATGGAATGAAAGTCATTTAACTTGATTGTTAATTTAATCCTAAATTATTTAATTTCACTCTTTCTTCACTTTTATGGTTTTGTCATAGATATGAAAAGTGCCAAATTTAAGCGTACGTGTTGCTGAAGATGTTTAATCCAATCTATCTGTACTGGTCTTAGTGGTGACTGAAACTCATCTTCATTAACTGTTTGACATTTTTTTATTTCATTGACGTGTTTACACTCGAGAACGAGAGACCCTTCACAGAGCTCAGGTCCTCAGGTTTGAAAGAGAATCTCAGACACAGAGAGGATGTTCAGACTAAGCGGACACAAAGGAGATTATAGGAGAAAAGAAATGCCTTTTAAGTTCTTCTGCAGCTCGGTGATGTGAGAACATTTATTTATTCTTTGTTTTAAGGTCATAAAAACTGTATCTGCTGACGTATTGTTCCTATGGATGTGTTTGGAAATGTTTGTGTTGCCGTACTGTTTGTATTTTTTAAGACTTTTTCAATAAAAATGATTCATAAGTTAAACTAAACACCACGCTGCTGAAATCGTCTTCAACAGTAGTTTGGTGTGTTGTGTGGGGAAGGCGATATTTTAAGGGTGTTTCCCCCCTCAGAGAAACAGCTCGTCTGTGTGTGCGTGCGCGTGTGTGCGTGCGCGTGTGTGTGTGTACATCTGATGTGTCTGAAGTCACAGAGATGTTTGTGACTCCTGAGAACACATGCTGCTTCACTTGTGTTTCATTGTGAGTTACCTCTGAAGACAAAAAGCGGGCTGGTGTCTGCAGCGGCGTCACAGACGAGGCGGCTGCAGGTTCTCTCCAACATTTCCAACGCCTCTTTGGGTCTAAACACGGAAAGGAAGAGTGCCATCTCCACACACGGGCCCATTTATTTCCACAGTGTGCTGCTCTCTGGAGATAAATGCTAGAAGTAGTTTCAGAGGAGGAAGTTGATTGGATGAATCACAGAAGAGTGTTTGAGTGACTGTGATTTTCTCTTCTTTGTATCTTCTGTGGAGGCTGAAATTTTTGCCCGCTGGGCTCTGTAAGCTTCAGCGCTAAGGCGACTAAAGAAAGACAGTTCAGTGTGAAGGAGAGTCTACAATTTGAACAGAATGGTCATGCTCTACTCTAACCATGCTACCATTAAATCCGAGGTGAAATATTCTATGTATTTTTAGACACCAGTGTAGCTGCTGACAGCGGGGGAATCTCAGCACTGCCCCCCCAAAGAATTGATCTTCAGATCCAGCTGAGGAAAAACAGGATTTAAGATGCATGCAGAAAAGAGCGGCCTTCTTTCTTTGAGCTTAATCTGCACGGCTACACAAACGGGCCATAAAGCAGAGCTTTATGACACCCGGGGAGATACGCTTCATCGGGTTTTCCATCCACACACCCTGACACACAAAGCTGCGACGGCCTGAGTCAGCCGTCAGCTAATTACCAGATTCTTTTCACTCAATACCGCCACTCGTTTCTCTCTCCTTAACTGTGCTGACAAATTTAGCTCTTATCAATACTGGTTTCTCATCGATGTGCTGATATTGGAAAACACAAAACACACCCTTTATCACACCACTGTTTGTTTCAACTATCGTCCTTTATGTTTAAGATAAGCTGTTTAAACATAATTCATTTCCTTGAAGCTCCTGAGAGAACCTGTGTAACCATGTGTAAGTCAGGTTTTTTTAACAATCTCCTCCTGCTTTCTGTCAACAGTCATACGGTTCGTTCAGGTTGAATCTTTGCTGTGTAAAAAAAGGAGATTTCAGTAGTAGTTTTAGGCTTTATGTGGCGGTTATGTTTGCTTTTATGGCTCCTAAAACCTCTCAGTCTTCAGAGTTCCCTCTGCTGACTGCTCACTATGTTATAGTGGTCGACTGTTTTACTGTTCGTTGTTACGTCATGTTAGCCAGCCAATAATATGATGTTGACAGTGCTGTACAGTAAAGATGTCAGCGGTCATGTCAACTCAAACATCGTGGCTATGAGCCTCAGTCCAGCTGATCCACTAATTCAACAGACCATTTGTCAATTTGTTTGAAGATACATAAGTAAGTTTTCTTGTCTATTTAGTTGTTTTCACCACTGACTAAATTTGAATATTTGATGTCTGAGTGACGTCACCTGTCTGCTCCTGCAGGGGGCGCTGGAGTGCCATCGATGGCGGTCTCCATGCTGGAAATGCTGTCTCAGCCTAACTTTCAGTCAGCCTAACGACAGGCTGAGAGCTGGAGCTGAGGCGGGTTTTAAGCCTCCAGACAAACCGTTACACCACACCCACCTGTCAATCAGGTCAGCTACACGCCTTATTGTGAATAACTCTTATCCTTCATCAAATCAAAACTGATGAGTCATCAACACATTCACCCCCCGTACAGTGTGTGCCGATCAAGACATGTAGCTAATCAGACCTGTTTGGTTTTTTGAACCAGGCTGTAAACATGTTAATCTCTGCTGTAAAAACAAGCTTTTTAGAATGGATGTGTATGTGACTTCCTGTGCTTCTGCAGCCAGCCTCTAGTGGACACTCGAGGAACTGCAGGATTTGGAACTTCATCATCAGCTTAATTTTCAAGACCGGAGGTTGCAGCTTGGTTTCCACACAGAATTCACCCCACCCTGCTCTTTTTTTTATTTTCACAACAGTTTAGATTTATTGTGTTTTTTCATATCTGTCCAAATTGTTTAGAGGGTTGTTTAAAAAAAAACTGACTCAGTGTGCAAAGACCTTAAGTGTGGTGTCAACGTGTAAGTGTGTCTTATGGCTACGTCCTTTCAGCTGCACTGGTAGCTGAAAGTACCTCCAGCATGTAAACCCTGCTTTGCTCCGCCCCTGATGTTTGTCTGTAATCCTCAGATTTAACTGTTTAAAATAAGATGTGTGAGCAGAAGGAGGTCGTGAGGCGTCCTTGGAGTTTGTCCCCACAGCTGCAGGTGTGTCCTCCAGGCCCATCATCCCACGCTCGATTCTTTATGGTCCTTATCTGGGCGGGAAGCCAGAAAGTCTGAGAATGATCAGACACATAACGGCATGCTTTGATCAACATCAATGTCATCCTGCGTGCATGTGAGCATACGTAAACATGTAGCCTCATGTAATATGACTGCCACAAAGGTGACACCTGCAGCCGAGAGGCGGAGAATAGCTCCACAAATCGCCCTCCTTATCTGAAAGCATTGATTTTTTAAAAATGGTCAGAGCATAGTGAGAGCAGAACACACAGAATATTGACGACCCAGTTAAAATGGGATGTGAAAAGTACGGCTCATGTACAGAGACGACCACCAGGAAGATGAGGATTCCTGCTCTGTTTAAAGCAGCAATTAGAGATCGCTTTTTTTCCACACAATATTTATTATTTTTTTCTGCCTCGTAAGCGCTGAGAGATACTGTAGGCTGAAATTTCCACATGACAAGTGTGTTTCAAATGTGAATGTTTTACACTAAAACGGTTAAACAAACACACAGAGCTCCCCTGACATTAAACGCTCAAACGTATTGATGTGTCCATTAAAAGCACAGCAGCACAAACACTTTCACATTCGTCATCCTCCTTACTGCACACTTTACGGGGAGATTAAGGAGCATTTAAGATGGAATGAAACCACTTTGAGCCACAGTATCTTTATAACTGGAGCCGCTCGGGCCCTCAGCACACATCGGCTTCTGTCACAGCCATCATTCACACTGTTATTTCTCCCATGTGCACTGTGTACACACACACACACACACACACACACACACACACACACACACACACACCCACACACACACACACACACACACACACACTGTGCAGCCCTGTTTTTACCTCTCCTCTATCTCTCTGTAAGCATCATGACATCATCGTCTCCTTGTCACTCAAATATTCCTCAAGCACGCCTGTGATATCTTCAGTAACGAGAGTTTCATTTTTACCATAAATCTCCCTGCGTTTGTCTCCAGCTCGAGCACGCTCACAGATTATTTATTTTGTTTTCCACTGATCCTAATAAGAGGCTTTCACAGCCAACATCAAACCGCCAGCTGGCAGAGATGCATCCTGGGTAGAGCTCCTCGAGGTAAATGCACGCAGACCCCCATCGCACTTAGCACCATCAGCAGTATCTCTCTCACTCTGCAGTTTGAAAAGACACCAAAGTATCTCAGCTTTTCATAAATCAGCAAGTACAAAACACATTTAAGGCAACATGTGCACACTCATGTTCTGTCTGCAGAGTCTAAATCACGTGTTTGTCACCTGCTGGTCCAACAGGAAGCAGACCAACTCCACGTCTACGGGTAAAAGACAACACAAGGTTCACCCTCGTTTTAGAACGAGCTTTATCCGCTTGGTGTTTCTCCTCACTGTGGTTATATTTCATAATATGAATATATCCTAAACTCACCTGCTGCGCTGTCATTGGCTGGACGAAACACACCAGCTCTGCCCAGAAACGTCCCGAGTCAACCAGAACAAAACAGAACAGTAAAATCCAGTCAGAGGACAGAGTCTCTGCAGACACAGTCACCACCTCACATGTACGGAGGCCCAGAAGTTTTATCCAGAATGTTACATTTCTGTATAAAAAGGAATTGATTTTTGTAAAGTAACACAACAGAAAAACACACATTTACTGATCTTGATTCTTTAAGGGTTCTAAAGGGTTCTCGGGTAGTGACACATGTTCAGTTGCTGCTTACTGCGGGTGTTTTGTTAAAGCTCAGCTCCTTTAAAAGAGTTTAAATCAGCAGACGGAGTGAGTGAAGTCATTGCTGGCTCTTTATCTTAAAACAAAGCGTTGGTTTTGCTCCTGGCCTCCTCAGAGTGCTCTCAGCAGAAAACAGAAGATCATTTTATCTGCTGGCGTACAATCACACCCCGGCTTTACACCCCCGCACCACCAGACCGCTCTGAACCATCCCACCCCGAGGGGCCTATGTCTTCTGGAAGGTTTTGGAAAACGCAGTCCACATCTTTTTCAAGTGAACAACTCTCAGATGTTTCAGATGTGAGGGGTCGGTCCATCCTCCCTCCTCCTCCTCCCCCTCCTGCCCTGTCAGGCATCTCTTTCATTTGCAGCTCCACTTTTAGGAAATAGTAGGTGTGAAAACACTACCGGGACTTTTATTTTCTCTTCTCCCTCGTGGAAGTCTTTTACTCAAACAGGACTGAAGCGCAGCGTGGGCTGCAGTATCACAGAGGCAGGAGGGGGAAGGTGTGATCACGTCCCTGCAGGGCTCCCAACCAATCATACGTCATGCTTTCAGCCTCGCTCTCAGAGTCTGCTTTGTCCTCGGCCCACTCAGCTTTTTATTTTCCAGGGCGAGATGAAGCATAAAGTCTGCTGCTGTTTCTGATATTCTTTGTCTGTTTTTTTTTTTACCCATAAAGAAATTTGACATATTTTGCATTTTACTCCCGCTGTCTTCATCTACCTGCTCCCACAGTATAGAGAAAGGTAAACACTGTCAGCACTTCCTCAATAAATTCCCAACAAGCTTTAATTTTCAGACTCATCCATTATTC